CCCCAGGGCTCTGTTATTCTGTTCCATGCATCTATATCTCTGGACCTGCTTTGCTCTTCAGTTTATTGTTGATTAGATTCTACATATAAGTGAGATCATGTGATATTTCTCTTTCTATAACTGGCTTATTTTGCTTAGCATAATAGTCTCCAGGTCTATCCATGCTGTTACCTCATTGCTTTTAAATTATTCTTTACAATGTACATATATATTAAATGTACTCATATGTACATAATATCTCATAATTAAAAGGTAAATTAATATAATACTAATAAAAAATTTTGGGGAGGACTGATCTAGATATTTCAGCTGTCACTAAACTAAATTTTAATTTTTAAGAAGTGCTGCCCTGGCCGGTGTGGATCAGTTGGTTGGAGTGTTGTCCTGTGCACTGAAGGGCCTCAGGTTTGGTTCCTGGTCTGGGCACACGCCTGGGTTGCCAGGCTGGGGTGAGAGGCAACCAATGGATGTTTCTTTCTCACATCGATGTTTCTCTCTCTCTCACCCTTATTCTTTCTCTAAAAATCAGTAAGCATGTCCTTGGTGAGGATTAAAAAAAAAATCTATGGGTCATCGGCGGGCCCAGGAAAACCAATTAACACAGATTAAAAAAACCAAAAACCACAATAGCCCTGGCTGGTTTTGCTCAGTGGTTAGAGAATCGGCCCTTGGACTGAGGGGTCCCAGGTTCTACTCCAGCCAAGGGCACATATCTCAGTTGCAGGCTCAATCCCTGGCCATGGTCGGGGTGTGAGCCGGAGGCAACCAATCTACGTGTCTCTCTCAAATCCCTTTCTCTCTCTCTCTCTCTCTCTGTCTCTCTCTCTTTCACTCTCTCTGAAAAGCATGGGAAAAATATCCTCAGGTGAGGATTAAAACAACAAACCCCAAATGATATCTGAACCAATTTAAGCAATCAGAGGTCAAGTTTCAGCCTCACACAAATGTTAGAGTAATGAATTTCATTTACATTCTGGAAATGGAAAAACAGTTTATAACCCTTTCCCTGGTTAATGCAATAGTGACAATGTAAGGTTTAAGGTTTTTTTTTTTTTTGGCCCTGACCAGTTTCTCAATGGTTAGAGCGTGGGCCCAGGACTGAAGTGTCCTGGGTTCGATTCTGGTTAAGGGCACATACCTCGGTTGTGGGTGTGGGCAACCAATCAGTGTGTGTGTGTGTGTGTGTGTGTGTGTCTCTCCCCCTTCCATTCTCTCTGAAAAGCAAAGGAAAAAATATCATCTGGTGAGGATTAAAAAAAAACACAGATTTTTTTTTTTTTTTAGTCCTGGGGTGTGCATCTACGATATGAACTTTTAAATGCAGGGTAACAGTTTCTAAGAAGCTGGCCCTGGGGATTCAGGGACCTCTTGCGGCCAACCAACAATTTACAGCGGTACCTCAGTTTTCCAACGTCTCCCTTGATGAACATTTCGGTTTAGGAACGCCATAAACCAGGACGGAGATGCTTCGGTTTTCGAACACGCCTTGGAAGTCGAACATGCCACACGGCTTCTGCTGAGGGCAAGATCCTGAGGCCCAGCTGTCGGCTGTTGACCCCTCGGTTTTTGAATGTTTCAGAATTCGGTCTTCGGGAACGGATTGCATTCGAAAACCGAGGTACCACTGTATTTGTTCTGATTTGAACTGCGAAAAGCGCTATTGTCTAGTGTTTAGTAAACAGCTTGAATAAAAATGCATCAACAAATTAAGCCTAAATAAATGAAGTCGGAGTTACCAGAGATTGTTGAGGATAGGTGGGAAGGGGGTCGCGTTTTCTAGGTAGAGAATGGGTTGTTCTAGGCGGAAGCAACAGTAGACGCAAGGTAGAAAGATATTCCGGGAACAGCAGGTAACCTGGTGCGACTAGAGAGAAACGGTAACTCAGCTGGGCCGGCGGCGGGGCTTCCCGCTCGCGCACGGCCCCACTGAGTCAGCTTCTCGCCTTCCCCTCGGACTCTGTTCCCGCTTCTGCCCGTTTGCTGGCTCCGCCCCTCCTGCGCCCGTGGCCCCGCCCCTGGAAAAAAAGCTTGAGCGGGAGGCGCAGCCTAGAGCGGTCATCTCGCCGCGCCTTCCTAACTGCGCGGCGTGCCGGGCTGATGGCGCCGTTTAGTGACGTCACTACCATTGACAGCGTGAGGCGGCGGCGGCGGCTGCTGCCATGGTGTTGAGCGGCTGGGTGAGGGTCTGAGTTTATTTCCTGCAAGACCAGGGCGCCTTCAGAGGGCGTGGGGGGAGGCCAGGAGTTTGCGGCCGAGGGCGGCGGGTTTGTGAAGTGCAGTGTTGTGAGGCCGTAGGGGAGGGTTTGGAGGCCCAGAAACCTGCCTCCTAGATCAGGGCTAGGGGGCGTGTTGGAGGAGAGGCTGCTTCCAGGCTGGGTGAGAGGCGCGGTAGTTCGGTTCTGGGGGCTGGCGGAAGTCTTAGGATCCAGATTGGGATGAGGGAAGTTGGGAGCTCAGGGTCTGGACAAAGAGGTATCTCCAGGAGTTCGGCGTGCAGGTGGGTGGGCCACGCTCACGAATCTCTCTCCCCCCGCCCGCCTGCTCCCGGTTGCTCACGCGGGCTGCAGGTGCATCATGTCTAGACTGGGGGTCTTGGGCGGCGCCCGCTCCGGGCTGGGACTGTTGCTGGGCACCGCCGCGGGCCTTGGATTCCTGTGTGCCCTTTACAGCCAGCGGTGGAAACGGACCCAGCGCCATGGCCACAGCCAGCTCCTGCCCAAGTCGCTGGACGTCACGCAGACTTCAGAGCCCGGACGCCAGGGTAGGAGCTGGTCCCCTGAGGCCGCAGTCACGGCTGATGGATGGGCCTGTGATACAGGCTGCCTTTAGCAGAGCCTGTGGGACAGGACAACGGAGGCGGGTGCCTGAGAATTTCTTTCACCTTCTTGGAAAGCTTATTGAAAAGGAAAGCATTCTCCCTCTTCTGTTCTCTTTCCCCAAGGAAAGTATATTGTGAAAAGGCTGTTTAGCTTTCACTTTTGGTTCTGGCCACAGTAGTGCTATATAAATGTTAAAGATACTTGCTTAGTGTTGGGTGAGGTGTTTAATAAGTAGAGGAAGAGTTCAAAAGTAGGCAAAAGGAAAAACTGATCTTGTAGGAATTAAAAGTCCTGAGGCTTATGTGTTAAATTACTTATAAGAATGAAGGGACCTGGAAACTATTTAGTCCAAGTGTTTTTACTTTTCTTATGATGAAATCAAGATTAAGATAGATTGTGTAACTTTCCCAAAGTTGTCACAGAGCAAGTAAGAGACAGGATTGAGCCTGGTCCCCTGGTCCCCTAGACTTAACATAGCATGGGACTGCAAGTGCACTTTCTTGCAGCTGAAGCTGAATATGGGTGGAAGCCAGCCACAGCTGAAATATGGGTAGTGCTTTCAGTTTTGCAAAACTTTCATATTAAATTAACTCATTTGAGCAAAGCATCTACGGCTGGTTTAGACCTCACGTTCAAGGAATAGAGGAGCTTTCAGAGTATCTCACCCCATGTTAATTGGGAATGAGTGTTTTTTCTGATTACCAGATGCCAGGTGGTTTAGAAAAGTTAGTTTTAGAAGAGTCTTCAGAGTTATTTTAAATTGTAACTGTCAGCATTTCATAACCTGGTAGTAACCTAGTGTTAACAAGTGTGTTTGTCTTTCCTTCGTTTTCTGTATGTTTTGTTTGTAATTTCTTAGCAGTAGTCGTTCTGCCAAGGTTGGGAGAAAATGGCCATGTTCCTAGGGATCTTTCATGCTCTACATTCTTGAGCACTGTTGGGTGTGTATTATAATATGGCCTAGGTTGTTTCTAGATTTAACAGATTTGTGCTTGCTGGAGTGTGGGTTCTACCTCCCTTGTTTCTTTCCTGTATTTACACTTTCCAGTAAACTTGCCTTAGGTAGCTCTGAGTTTACTAGCATTTACTGTTGGAGTTTACCTAGAGCTCAATTCAGGTCTTGGTAATGGTGTTTTTCCTATGGGTTTTGATGGGCTTTTTCCAGTGTACCTTTTCTCTCAGTAACTACCCTTTTTCTCTTTGCCCCTCTCTAATGATAGTATAAGAAGTTCTTGAGAGGAGCTCAGAGTTTTCTTTGCTATTCTTTGTGACATGAAAGATCAGAATTTGAGGGAGCTCAACTTTAGTTTTGCTGTGGGGTTGGTACTGACTGGCATTTGTGCATTATATACAGGCATGCCTCGCTTTATTGTGATTTGCTTTATAGTACTTCACAGATACTGCATTTTTTTAAAAACACACACATGTTTTTATTGATTTCAGAGAGAGGAAGGGAGAGGAAGATAGAGAAACATCAGTGATGAGAGAGAATCATTAATTGGCTGCCTCCTGCACGGCCCCTACTGGAGATCAAGCTGGAAACCCAGGCATGTGCCCCGACAGGGAATCAAATCGTGATCTCCTGTTTCACGGGTTGACACTCAGCCACTGAGGCACACCAGCTGGGCTGCATTTTTTTTTAATTGAAGGCAAGACCCTTCACCAACAAAAGATTACAACTCACTTTATTGCGGCACTTGATTTATTTCAGTGGTCTGGAACCAAAACCGCAGAATCTCCGAGGTATGCCTGTAGTCAGGTATAGGTTTTTCTTTTATTCTGGCAGGGCAGCTGTCTTGACTTTGAGGAACCTCACTCTTGCAAGCATTTTATATCATCTGCCATGGTGTGGAAGATTCAACGAACAGAAGGCTCTTGTTTGTAGATTGGGTTCTTGATGTTACAGTTACTTGGGACTTGTTAACAAGACTTAGCTGTGAACATATGCTTTCTGAGTCTTTGAAAATTGAACTCCAGTGAGAAGCAAGTGTTCTTGAATTCTAGGTGCAAGATCTTTGCCTCACTATGTCCCATGGACATCACTGTCTCCTGTCCTCCTTCCTTTAGTGAGGCCATTTCAGGCAGTCCCAGGTGAGGCTGGAGATGCTGTGGTGCTGCCAAGCCTTCCACGAGAAGGGCAGGAGATGGTGCTGGACCGCCTGGACTTTGTGCTGACCAGTCTGGTGGCACTGCGGCAGGAGGTAGAGGAGCTGAGGAGCAGCCTTCAGGGGCTTGCTGGGCAGATTGTTGGGGAGTTCCGGTGAGTACTGCAGCCTCCTCTCCTGTCCTGCCCCTTGCCTCTACAGCTTTTTCAGCTGAGCTGTGTTCTGGCCTTTGCTGTTTGTTTCTAAGGAGAAAGCCAGCTTTATAGCTTCTCACCTATTTGGCAGGGAAGCTGGCCTTGCACAAGTTCCTTGCTTCTTGTGGGCCTTTGTGATCTGTTGTAGAGGCTGAAATGCTTTGTTCAAACTCACCTGATCTGCCCTGGTCTGTCCAGGGAGCTACCCTTGATCTCGTGAGTGTAGAGACCCAAGATTTTCTTTATTTCTTTAAAAAAATTTTTTTTTTAATTTATTAATTTTATAGAGAGAGGAAGGGGGGAGAGAAACAATGATTTGTTGTTCCACTTATTCATGCATTCATTGGGTGATTCTTGTATGTGCCCTGACCACCCACAACCTTAGCATATTGGACCACATTCTAACTACATTGTAACTGAGCTACCTGGCCAGGGCCAAGACCCAGGATTTTCTTTGCTCTTGGCCCTTTAATGAGGAGTGGTAGTAGGAGGCTCCCTCATGGTGAGGGGAAAGACAGGCAGATGGTGCCTAGTGCCACCTTTTCAGATCCCACGTGGAAGAGAACCAGAGAGTGGCTCGGCGACGAAGGTTCCCGTTTGCCCGTGAGAGGAGTGACTCCACTGGCTCCAGCTCTGTCTACTTCACGGCCACCTCGGGAGCCACATTCACAGATGCTGAGAGTGAAGGCGGGTGAGTCATGTCTCCTGGAGGCAGTTGTGGCTCTAGCCAGGTTACATTTTGTGAAAGCAATGTTTATCAATGGAAAATTCACACCAAGCTGCTATAAGTAATTTTTCGAACAAGGTAAGGGTATAAATAAATTCAGAACAGTTGAAATAAGAAAAACCATCCACCTGTGTCATCAAGCCAAACAGAAATGTTAACAGTGGTTACTGCTTTCACCTGTTATTTTCCTCTGAGTAGGTTTGTTTTTTATATAGTTATTATATATTTTTTATTTCTGTTTCCCTATAACATTAATTGGGCATTTTCCTGTGTTATCACAAAAACTTTATTTCCTTCACTGAGTATGTTCCCCTTCCCCTGGAAGTTCTCTTCCCACAGGGGAGGCTTGCTCCCTTGTCAACTTTACAGATGGGAGGTGACTGTCCTGAGTAATTGGTGGCCCAGCAGGTCTGACCATAGGCCTTGCTGTGAGATGGGGCAGCAGGCAGGAGTCTTGTGGACAGCCTCCAAACTTGGTCAGGCTAAAGCTTTTGATTTTAAACTACTAGTGGCATGAAGTCTGAACACCTTTGTTGCAATGCCTGATGTTGACATGGCAGGACTGGCCCTTGTTTGCTGCTAGCTCAGTGATCCAGGTGGTCTGCATGAGGTCTAGAGGCTAATCTCTGGTGGCCTCTGCTGACCTCCCTTCCTCAAGAAAAAGATTGGTGCAGAAAATCCCCAAGCCTTCTGTTGGGTCAGAATGTCTGACTTAGCTATAAATGGCCAGTTAAGATGACCTTTGCAGCACTGTCCCTCTTTAGCTAAAACACCTCATCATATTAACTACTGATTATTCTTTCTCTGACAGACACTGTACTAAGCACTTTAGAGGTATTTTCTCACTCCTCACAAGGATCCTGTGGAGTAGGTGCTGCTCTTCGGTTTCTCAGAGCAGACTTGAGGCTTAGCAAGGTTTGATGCCTTGCCCAGGGTTGTACAGATGCCAAGTTCAGGCTTAGCCAGGCTCATCTGCAGGGGTGTGAGGATCTGTGATCTGAGGAATGGCTTGGTCGTCAGGGCACTGAAGAGCCTTCACAGGAAGAAATGTCCCATGCAGACCTTGGGAGTTCTTCCCATTGACTAAGAGCTGCCACAGCTCACTGCCCATAGTAGTATAGTATGTTCAGTACATCTTACTCAAGAGATTTCAGCCTCGGCCATTCTCCTGCCTCTCATTTGGCTTTCTAAGAAAATTAAGAATAATATTACTCTTTTTCTATGTCACTGCCATTGGGCACTTGTGCTGGATTTGATTATTGCTTAGATGCCTCTTGAAACAAACGAAGTCTTGCCCTGGCGGGGTGGCTCAGTCGGTTGGAGCATCATCCTGTACACCAAAGGGTGGTGGGTTTGATTCCTGGTCAGGGCACATACCCAGGTTGTGGGTTCAATCCCAGGTTGGGGCACTTGTGGGAGGCAGCCAATCAGTTTTTCTCTCTCCCATCAATGTTTCCCTCTTTCTGCCCCTTCCTTTTTCTAAAAATTAAAAAAAAAAGTGAAGTCTTGGTAGAGCTTTAGTCCTCCATTCATGGCTACTGATGCCTGGGTTGTCTGATCCCTATTGTCTGTATTCTCAAGGGTTAACGAAAGTGGTCCTTTTCTGTTCAATTTACCTAATAACTCTGGGCTGAGAGATGCTTCCAGTGGGCTGTTTTAGAGGAGGGGCAGAAAGGAAATATTTGACACATCTGGATTGCAAGGACAGAGTTGTTGATAATGGGCCCTGAGACTTGAGGAGCGTCTTTATGCAGCCAAGGAAGCAGGTCACTTGGGCGGGGAATTGATGTTTGAACTTTGTAAGAGGGTAGAACAGGAGAGGTCACAGCTCTGCCCAAGATCAGCATGTAGAACTCAAGGCCCTTGATGATTTTTGAGAAGTTACACAAACTTCTGTGGGCAGTGAGAGCCAGAGTGTTTAACCAGAGAAGCTTGTGGGTGCTCACTGGGGCTCCCATAAGGGGCAGGACAGGCCTCCCTGCCACCTGTGATGGGATGAGAGGAAGGGTGGCTTTCTTAATTATAGCTCCAGTAGGCTCAGCCCCATGACTGATCGTGTGGCATGTGGAAGCCAATGGAGGCATATGATGTAAGACTGGTTTAGCTGGCTGCCATCTGGGGCAGTGACCATAGTGAATAATTCTTTTTGCCATGATCAGTGCCATATAGGTCAAGGGGAAATTAAGAGAGGAGACCTCAAACTCTGCAGTGACTTTGAAAATGTGGGCCCCAGGGAAGGAGTGCTTGTTTGAGGGATGAAAGGAAAAGAATATTTGATGGGCCATTCAACTTCACTGAAAGCTGTAGTCCCTTTTTTGCCCCAAATAAAATAGCAACTTTGAGTTCCCAGAGGACCGACTGAATGTGGCAGAAGCAGAGTCACTGTGTGGGGTCTGTGAGCTCATTCCCTGAGCATTGTAGCAACACAGCGTTAGTTCCTTCCTGTAAAAACCAAATTTGCCCTAAAACACCAGCCCCTCCAACAAGCCTTCCCGGGCATCCCAGCCAAGAGGGATTGCCTGCGACTTCATCTCCTTGAGCATTTATCACCTCATTTAGTTTGGTGTTATCTTCCACACCACTGAGAGTATCTCAGGGTCAAGGTCCATACCTGCTTGTATCTGAATACTTCAGCTCAGCCCCTCTAATGGGGCGTAGAAGTTAAAGGAAAGAAACTTAATTGCCAGGAGGGAAGATATGTGTGAGTCTTGATCCCTCAAGGAGTAGAGTAGGATAGCTCTGGGCTCCTTGCTCTGAGGGAGCCTTGGGTCCTTAACCCACTGTGGGAACATTGTGTTCTACCTGAGTGTAAAGATCCAAATGGCCTTTTCAAAGGTCCCAGCCAGTCCCTTGCTGATCTCAAAAGCTGCAGGACTTGTTAAACAAAAGGGCCACCGGTTGCCTGGCTGGGTGTGGCTCAGAGGTTGAGCATTGACCTATGATCCAGGAGATCGAGGTTCTATTCCCAGTCAGGGCACACGCCCGGGTTGCAGGCTTGATCCCCAGTTGGGGGTGTACAGGAGGCAGCTGATCAATGACTTGCTCATAATTAATGTTTCTGTATCTCTCCCTCTCCCTTCCTCTCTCTGAAATCAATAAAGATATATTTAAAAAAAAAAAAGGCCA